CCCCCGCCATGGCCTCCCCACGCTGCTGAAGCTGCCGAGTGAGACATCTCCAGGGGTGCCTACACTCCCAATCGGAGGGGCCTGTAGATGTGGGCAGCCAGGATGGCCAGTGCCCACAGCATGGCAGAGCGAGCCCAGGCTTCTCTCAGCTCTGTTGCCAATTTATAGGCAAGACCGTGAAAGTAGGAAAGGGGACCTGCCCCAGCATTTCGTCCCCAGGGCCTCCTGCACACAGCCCACATGGCTGCTGAGCACCTGCGTGGGGTTTCGTGCTAACTGGCCATTTCCTGAGGAGGAAACTTTGGTTTTTAAGAAAAGCGCTTTCTATATGTAGACCTTGATTGTGGACACCCCGTCCATGAGCACTTAGCAGACATAGAGAAGTCTTTCCTTTCTATGTCTTCATACCACAGAGCATATTCAACTTCATTGTCACGACAGAGCGATATCAACATCTGTGAGAAATACAGGGGTGTCCCCTCATGGTTACTGGTAATTGACATTTCAACTACAGATGCCTTCGCTCACGTTGACAATGGTGTAAAATTCTCCATGCGTATTCCCTCCGTTATAGGTGGTGCATTGTTATATGCAGCATATCTCTTGCATTTACAGATACAGGGCTATATAAATAAACATGTTTATTATTCCTTAGAAGCAACTTATGGGCATTGTCATTTGGACTTTAAATGTTGCATTATGTACTAAGTTTAGACTTTAACTGCCTGAACATGTAAGGTGGAAACTTGAACACTGTCTGGTTAGTCTGGCAGGGTTTGAGTTGCTAGGGCTCTTGTTTGTGGCGAGTTATGTGGCCCAAGTTAACGTGTATGGTTCTTGGTGTCTGGCCTGCAGTTTAACGTGTGTGGCACAATGCCGGTCTGTGGGACCTTCGATGGAAAACCAGCCTCTGGCTGTGAGGCGGAAATTCAGACAGAGGAGCTAAAGAATCTGAAGCCAGAAAGGCTGGTTGGACTCGAGAAAAGCCTGCAGCTGTCCACTGAGGGCTTTATAACTCTGACCTACAAAGGGCCTCTTTCCCCGGCCACAGGTGAGCTCAGAACCACGTCGTGTTGCAGCTAACAAGTGTCCTGGTGGCCCCGTGACTGTGAACCTTCTGAGCACGGACCGTGAACGACCTGCGCTCCTGCCCTGGGGCCGCGGCGCTACACTCCCGAATCGCCCTGTGTGCCCTGCCAGGCCCCTGACGTGCGGTCCTGTAGCTGGCGGGTCGCGCTGTGGGCTCTCCCTCTGCCTGCCCCGTCCCCCAGCCTCCTAACACTGGGCCCCTCAGGTGGTTCTTGGACGTAAAGCTTTGTGACCTCAGGCTGGTTACTAAACCTCTTTGCTTCAGTTCCCTCCCGGACTGGGCGGGGTCGATGGCCTTACCTGCCGCCTCCGTGGACTGCTCTGGGTCCTTGGTGGCCTGCCGCTGCTGGCCCTGGCTGCAGCAGCCCTTCGGTGGTCTTCCTGCTTGTGCTCCCCCCGCCCCCCAGTATTCTGTGTTCAGAGCACGTCACTCCCAGCCATGTGCACCTGGAGTAGAGGCCAGTGCTGTCACGGTGGTTGGGGCAACACGATCTCCCACTCCGCGTTCCATCCTGCTCACCTCCTGCTTCTGAACCCGTCCGGGCCCCCTCTCATCCGCCCTCCCGTCCTGAGCCTGTGTCCTCGCTCTTGCCTCTGCCCATTTTGCTCTCCCCTCAGGATGGCCCCGTGGCCCCTTTCTTCTTTCTCAGCTATCCGCCCAGATGTCCCTTTCTCGGCGGGGCCGGCCACCGCATCTAAAACCCGCACCACGTTGGGGTTTCCTTGGCCTGGGCCTGCTGCATTTTCCTTCCTTGCACTTCTCGCTGTTCTGTGTGCCCTAGACTGCATGTCATAGGCTCAGTGTGGGGGCCGCCGTACTGGGACGTGAGCTCCTGGGGGGGGCGAGGGTTTTTCTGAGTCTTTCACTTCTGTGTGTACGAGGAACTAAGTATTGTCCAACAAGCCAGTGACGTTAGCTAGTGTTTGGGTTGAGGAATGGATGCTGCGTTTGCCTGTTTTCTGGAATACCAGGACGGAGGACGTTCGGCTCACCCTGTGAGCCCATGGCTGTGTGGGTCACTACTGCGCTGAGGGTGGCCGCTCGGCCGTTCCCGTCGGGCCCCGTGAAACAGACCCAGGGCGGTGGTGTCGTCCTTCTAACGGGGGCTTTGCGGTTTGTCCCCAGTGGCAGCCGCTGCTCTGGGATGTGTCGGGACGGCTGCTCTGCTTCAAGTCTGGCCTCCTTGTTCCCAGGGACCGCTGACGCCTTTATCATCCGCTTTGTTTGCAACGATGACTTTTACCCGGGAACCACCAAATTCCTGCATCAGGACATTGACTCTGGCCTGGGAATCCGAAACACTTTCTTTGAGTTTGAGACTGCACTGGCCTGCGTCCCCTCTCCTGTGGATTGCCAGGTCACGGGTAAGGCCGAGAGGCCCGGGCTGAGGAGGCCGGTCGAGGGTGTGCGTGTGTGTGTATACGCGCGTATGTGTATATATGCGCATGTGTGAGCGTGTGCATGTGAGTGTATGTATGCGTGCGTGTGAGCGTGTGGTGTGCTTTGTTTTATAGGCAGCATATTTGTGTTATGTGCTTCTTTGATCCTTACACTTGAGAGGTTTCTCTTGAAGAGAATGTGGTTATGTAATTCAGGGTTTTAATCTATATTTTGGAATCAGAAGCTGCCTAAGAACAGAAGAAAACTCAGGGGAAAGAAATATCAGATCTTATTTGAGGACCTAAAAGAAAGGATGTAAAGCTCTGTAAGGCGCACCCGGACGCTGAACAGTGTCCCAGGATGCCTCGTGCTCTGCAGATGGCTCTGCCCCTCCACATCAGTGGTGCTTGTTGTGAAGGGCAGCTTCGAGGGCAGAGCGAGTGTACGTGTCTGTAGGAAAAGCCTCTGAGCTTCCTGTGGATCTCCTGATTCCTTCATAACCAACGTCAAGTTCGTGCATCATGGGTCTTTGGTCAGGGTGAAAAAGGTGGTGCTCTAATGCTAACCAGAAAGCAGGGCTAGCTGGAGTGTTTCCGTGTATTTCAGACGTCGCTGGAAATGAGTATGACCTGAGTGGCTTAAGCAGAGTCAGGAAGCCCTGGACTGCTGTGGACACCTCGGCTGATGGAAGAAAGAGAACTTTCTATCTGAGTGTTTGCAATCCCCTCCCTTATATTCCCAGATGCCACGGTGAGTTGAGAGCATTTGACTTGAGTTCCATCTGCCTTTCTCCTGTCCCCTGCCCCAGACGAGCTCCCATCTCTTGCAGGCAGCGCGGTGGGGTCCTGCCTGGTGTCAGAAGACAACAGCTGGAACCTGGGCGTGGTGCAGATCAGCCCCCAGGCTGCCGAGAACGGCTCCCTGAGTATTGTCTATGTCAACGGTGACAAGTGCGGAAACCAGCGCTTCTCCACCAGGATCACGCTCGAGTGCGCTCAGACCTCGGTGCGTGAGTTGATGAACTGCTTTCATTTCCCACTTCCCTTCAGTCTCTCAGTCTTCTCTCTGAGTTTAGTCCTGCCTGCGTTTTCATCCTTTGGTAGCATTTGACTAGATTTTCCTCCAGGTCTCACATGTTTAATAAGTGCTCTGTGTTTTTCCTCGTGGAGATCGAAAGTTGGATATTAATTGTGGCTATCTTTTTGACTGACTTTTTAAAAAAGGCAAAAACATAAATATTTGGTTTCTATTCTAGGGATCCCCAACATTTCAGCTTCTGGATGATTGTGAGTATGTGTTTGTCTGGAGAACGGTGGAAGCCTGTCCCGTCATCAGAGTGGAAGGTAAGACCTGGGGCCCAGCCCACTAATAGTTGTAAACGGATGAAGTAGCAGAGGCTCCAAACAGCATCCTAAATGCAAAACCCAGTCGTAATGGCGGGGGGATAATTTCTTACCTTGGGTTTTGACTCCAGTGCACAGCTAATTTTGTCGGTGACACCCTCCTTACCTGCCTGGAGCGATGCTGGGCTAGCGCCTTCTCACATTTAAGAATCTTAACTTGGGGTTTTGATTGGTCCAGTGGATCTTTACCCTCTGACCTCGGCTTTTCTAGAAGGCTATCTGATAGGCGGTTTGTACTTTGTGTAGAAGCACATTGAGATAACGTGGAAATAGCGTTTAATGCTTATTTTAAGACTGTACTCATCTGATTAAAAATTGGAAGACTGTTTTTTGCCCGACGGTGTGAGTGTCGGTAGGCTCGCAGTTGCCCTTCGTGTCTGTGTGTCCTTGAAGGAGACAACTGTGAGGTGAAGGACCCGAGGCACGGCAACCTGTACGACCTGAAGCCGCTGGCTGTTAATGACACTGTCGTGAGTGCCGGCGAATACACCTACTACTTCCGGGTCTGTGGCAAGCTGTCCTCAGAGGTCTGCTCCACTAACGACAGGTCCAAGGTGATCTCATCGTGTCAGGAGAAGCGGGGACCCGAGGGATTTCAAAAAGTGGCAGGTACCGTGGGTTTTTCTTCTGCTCTTGTGCAAGAATGGAACTATGTATTAAGGTGTTATACTGAAGGATGACTTCTTTCTGGAGTAGGAAAAAAGCTTTGTTCTGGTGAAGTATTAACGATGCTTCTGATTTCACTTGATTTTCTTAAGTAGATGCATGCTGACAGATGTTGTTAGAGCTTATTGTGTTCGTTCTTTAGCAATTCCAGTTAGTGATTCTTTACTGCAACCAGGGACATGCTGAAGTAGCCAGTAATGGGTGTTCTGAGGTGGTACTTTCTAGAGTTGAGTCAGAGGGGAGGCATCTAGGACAGGGTTTGGCTATAAACTTACAGGGCAGGCTGTTGGTCATCATGCTGTCTCAGCAGCTGGGCAAGTGATACTACATTTAAGAACTCTTAAAGCGAGAGAGCACACGAGCACAAGTGGGGAGGGGCAGAGGCAGAGAGAGAGGAGCTCACGCAGACTCCTCCTTGAGCTCGGGGCTCGATCCCACAACCCCGAGATCACAACCTGAGCCGAAACCAAGAGTCTGGACACTTACCTGACTGAGCCTCCCAGGCACCCCTAAGTTTAAGAACTTTTAAAAAGAAAGTAGCTGACATGACAAGTGCATGGGCAATGCTTCGGGGCCATCCTCTTAGGTGAGGAGGCTGGGGAGCGGCTGCTCCTCATTGTTCCCACCATGAGTCTGGAACGTCGTAACCTTGGGTGAGAGGAGGCCTGGTTTTATTCCGCCCGCAGTGCAGTGCGGCAGGGAGCAGGTTCCAGCGCCCGGGGGCCAGGCATACCCCCTCTTCTAGCCCTTTATCTGGGGTACGTGATGTGACGTGCCTGTTAGGGTTAGCATGGCGGCACCAATCCTTGTTTTAATTAGGTTCTTTCTGAACAGGTCTCCTCACTCAGAAGCTGACGTATGAGAATGGCTTATTGAAGATGAACTACACTGGGGGGGACACTTGCCATAAGGTGTACCAGCGCTCCACAACCATCTTCTTCTACTGCGACCGGAGCACCCAGAGGGTGAGTGTGCTTCCAGCCCGCCCGGATGTCTGCCTGGCCGGGAGCTGCTTCTCCGCATTCCTGCTGCTCGATCTGCTCTGGTTAGCTTAGTTTAAATGTACCAGTTACAGAAGATACGTCAAAACCTTGATCGATTTGTCTGGATTTTAATGAACATAACCATCCTTTACTATATTTGTTCCTAAGATCTAAAGGGTAAGAAACGAACTGAAGTTTTCCCTCTGACGTATCTCTCTCTTACCTTCTCCAGCCGGTATTTCTCAGGGAGACTTCGGATTGCTCCTACTTGTTCGAGTGGCGAACGCAGCATGCCTGCGCGCCTTTTGACCTGACTGAGTGCTCATTCAAGTAAGTGGATGCCGTCTGTTGACCTTCTGCGCAGTCGGGGGAACTTGGCGCAGCTTTGCTTTAATGATTAGTGGTTGGGGGACAGGAGGTTAGCTGAGGTGGTTTCTCTCCACCTTCGTCCCGTCATATTCAGATGAGCAGTTGGACTAGGTTAACTTCCAAATCCTTCACAGCTTTGGGTTTCGGTGACTATTTTGTGTTAAGATGCATATAGGGAGGTGATTGGAGTTGGAACGGAAAACCTTGCATGATTCACAGGTGTAAGTGGAGTAGAGTGACCAGGACGTCACCTGGCCTCCGCCCACCCTCGCACGCCGCTTATGTCTGGGGACACCACAGTGAAGAAGGGCGTGGAGAGGATGAGGGGCTGGGGTGTGGGAGACGGTGTGGGGGAGGCGGCCCCCAGACTGCAGGTTTTTAGGGGCTGTCGATGGTTCTTTTGATCTCTGTTGCCTGTGGCTCCTGGAATTGGGTGGCTGGCAGCTCTTGAGGTAAGGGAGAGGTCTTTCCTGTGTGGGAATGCCAACAGAGTTGCCCTTGGAACTGTTACAAAATAGGCATCTTGTGTCCCATCCCTGGAGGTTGATCTGTGGTTCTGAATGTTTAAGGGACATGCTCTCTCTTCCGCTGTATGATGATCGACCCTGAAAAGGATCGCAGGGTTATAGCATTCAGTCCTGGGGGACAGTAGAGTAGTCACTTCCACGTTTTCCTTACTTCCTGTTCTGTTTGATTGCGTTCTCTCCTTTTATTTAGGTAAAGTAATAATTCTGTAAGTGTTAGTAACGTACGGAAAAGCATACATTCAGGAATCTACGTGTTTAGTGACGTTGAATCATAATTTGTTTTGTAACATTTCTTTTTCCAGCTAACGCTCCATGAGCGTTTCCATGTGAAACAAATTCATTTCTCATTTCTAGTGGGTGTGAACGATCCTTCCAAGTAGATAGCCCTGATTGACTTGACTGTTTTCTTACTGCCATTTGAGACTGTCTTCCACTTTCTGAGATTTGTGTACAAAGAGTCTTATATTTTTGTACGTAAAGCTTTTCCTACCAAATATTTTTATTTACCGTTTTTAAAAGAATTAATGAAGTAAAAAATGGAATAATCAGTTAAAATGGAAGTTGACACATGCATATTGTAATAACTTCATGGGAGTACAAAAACGTGTACAGTGAGGTCATCTTGTTGGTAAGTTTTTCTCTGACCACGACGTCTAAAATCTCAACCTCCCCCCACCACCCAGCCCCAGATTTTTTTCCTCTTCAGCTTTAATCGCCCTCTGACATACTGTCTACTTAAAAAAACTTATATCCTGTTTATGGTGTTTTCCTTCTCCTGGTAATTTCTGCAAATTTCATAAAATGGGTGATTTGTATCTTTTTGGTTCAGTATAATACCCTCAGCTTAGCACGTATTTTTTGAACGAATGAATGCTTTCCGTTCTCCTCTTCCCTGCTGAGACCTTATGGGGTGGCGTCTGTGATTGTGCCTCTGTCTTCACCTGGACCTAGTGCTTCCTGGGGACAGACGTGGGTCTTGCTCACCATTGACCCTGCACCTGCTATGGGGTTGGCCCTCAGTAACAGTTGTGTGTGGGATTTGTGTAGTAAGTAAACTTCAGCCTGAGCAGACATGTCGACAGCAGTTCATTTTTATTTCAGTGGCCGTCTCAGGGTTGGACAGCAGGTGGTTGCTCCCGAGAGTGCTCTGTGCTGTGAGCGCGCCACGGAGCCCACTGTTCCCTCCTGTCCTCTCACGGGCCTGAGCACGGGGAGCGCTTCCTTTGCAGGCCTGGTCTTTGCTCTTTTTTGGATTAATACATGATTTTGCTGAACCAAGTCTTAAAGTTTCCTGAGCTCAGGTTCTGATTCTGACTGGAGGTGGTGGGCCAGGTCCAGTCTGAAGTTCTGTCCCTGGGTGGGACCTGAGGCTCAGGATGTCAGGCACAGACCGCACCTTAAATATTGAGCCTTTCCAGTGCTCGGTGTCCATCCGGAGTCCAAGTGAGCCTAACCGCAGTGTTCTCCTCCTTACAGAGACGAGGCTGGCAACACCTTCGACCTCTCGTCCCTGGTAAGGTATAGCGACAACTGGGAAGCCGTCACAAGGACAGGAGCCACCGAGCACTATCTCATCAATGTTTGCAAGTCTCTGTCTCCCCAGGCTGGTTCCGGTGAGAGAGGACTCTTGGGCGGATGGCTTGTAGTCAGTTTGGGAGAAGATTGAGTAGGAACAGGATTCTGTGAAGGTGTTTTGGCCATGAAGCGGCAGGAGGAATTATTTAAGGGTCTCATGACTGATCCCTGGGATGGTCTAGCAGAAGTCTTTGTTGAAGGCTCTGCTGGGAACACAGTAACCTTATTTGAACAGGAGTTGGAGGTGGGTGGAGGGAATCATGGTGGTAGGTGATTTCTTAGCAGGGTGGGAGACACAGAGAGCAAAGCAGAGATTGAACGCATGCCCTCTGTGTTTACTGAGAGTAATGTGGGTGGGTGCTCCTTTACATTTGAGGCCGTGGGCCCCCTTCCCCTCACTTTCTGTGCCGGGCAGATCAGTGACAGCATGGTTCCTAATCCATGAGGTGGGACTAATTCTTTACACAGGGCAGAGATAGCACAGACATTTTGGGGACTGGGAAATTGGCAGAGTTCTCGGTAACTCTTTTTTTTTTAAAGATTTTATTTATTTATTTGAGAGAGAATGAGATAGAGAGTATGAGAGGGGGGAGGGTCAGAGGGAGACGCAGACCCCCGCCGAGCAGGGAGCCCGATGCGGGACTCGATCCCGGGACTTCCAGGATCATGACCTGAGCCGAAGGCAGTCGCTTAACCAACTGAGCCACCCAGGCGCCCCTCTCGGTAACTCTTAAAGATGGTACTTGAATGTGGGCCATTTAAAATGTCCTGTTGGCTTATCTAGGTATTTTAGTCTCAACGCATTCGGGGTTCAGAAATAATTCGGTCTATGAAACCTTGCATTCTCCCCGCACCCCATGCCTCTACTAACTGAGAAGTTCTGTGGCATCATTGTCATCTCATGCGAAAGAAATAGCAGATATTTTGGAGTGACTATTAGAATGAAGCGTACAGCATGTCTGACATTACTTACCAGATAAATTCTGGACTGGAAAATCGGCAAAGGCAACAGCCATGTCTCCTCTCACAGAGCCGTGCCCTCCGGAAGCAGCCGCGTGTCTCTTGGGCAGCTCCAAGCCTGTGAACCTCGGCAGGGTGAGGGAGGGGCCACAGTGGAGAGATGGCGCCACTGTCCTGAAGTACGTCGATGGTGACTTGTGTCCAGACCAGATTCGGAAAAAGTCAACCACCATCCGCTTCACCTGTAGCGAGAGCCAAGTCGTAAGTGACAGCGCTTCCTCAGCCCCCGGCGGGTAGCTCTGGGCCCGTTCGGATTGCGGGGCCAGTGAGACGGTCTTACTTGCCCTGGGATCTGAGTGGAGGATGCGATGCTCGGGACTCCGTGGCGTGACTGCGGGTTCTGGCAGTCCTGCCTCAGCCCTTTGGCTCGTGGGCACCTACCTCTCTTCTCTGGCTCCTGGGGTGTCTGACCTGCATTTCTAGTCTCAGAACTGGTTGGTTCTCCTTAAAGTTTGGTCCCCTGCAGATGCCCCCCAAGGCTGTAGAGCAAACCAGTATTTGACAACCTGCCCTTTGCCTTCACGGATGCAGCTTGGGAGAAGCAGAAGGTTATACGACAGACCAGGTTCAGGGCTGCTCTTTATTTCCTAGCTTGGTTACTTAACTGTGCTAAGCTGTGTACCCGTGAATAACACGAGCTGTTCCCGTCTTGCCAAATCGCTGTGAGGTGTAGAGAGAGGAAGTAGGAGGTGCCGGGCATCACTGCCAGTGTATGGTTGGTGCACGGTCCATGGGGGCTGGTCTCATTTCTGTGCTCCATGCCTCTCTCTAAGGGGTTGGTGGGTGTAGCTAAGCAGGTGTGGGACTGAATTAATGGTCTCTCTGGACTGTTTGTCCCCACAGGAACATCTCCACGTGTGAGATGAAGGTGAAGCCCCATGTGCTATTAAAAATTAGGGTTGTAACTAATTTTAGGAATAAAGTCAAGCTGGACCAGCCCACTCAGTGTTCTAGGCTGGAGCGCCCACTGTCTCCAGCTGTGTTTGGCCAGCAGTGGTAGGAGGAGCTCTGGGAGCCTGAGGTCTGCCCTCTTGGCAGGAGTAGCAGCTGGGCCTTCCTCCTCGGGAAGCTGTACAGAGGCTTAGCCTAGACAGGAGCTGCTGGGGCCTGGACACCTGGGCCCCGATAGACCCTCTCAGCTCCGTAACTGGCCAGAGGCTCATGGTAGAGGAAGAAAGAGCTGATGGACATGTGGGAGGAAACACGAGGGTGATGTGTGAGGGGCTCTGCACGTGGGTTGCCCAGGAGGCTGGCAAAGCTGCCAGGGGTTTATCTGCAAAGGAGTGTACTGCTGAACCAGTCTTAGCAGCTCCGTGGTGGACAGGAAGCGTGGGGACGGAGCGCGTGTAGCTCGTGCAAGTGGAGGATCGTGGAGTAAATGACGAGTTCTCTGGGTGGGGCTTTTTGTTTTGTCTATAATAACAGATCTGAGTTCCTTTGCTTTTAGAGTGTTACCAGCTATTTCCTCTTTCCTGACTCACCAGAGCCTTTGAGCCACTTCCTCACCCTGTCCCCTGCCTGTCTTTCCCTAGCTGTAGCTGTAGAAAGATCTCCATGATGCCCCAAGTGGATTTCTGGCTCTGAGTCTGCCTCACCTTGCATATGTTAAGGCCCTAGTGCAATCCCAGGAAGATCTTGACCTTTTGCTTTTCTAAGTGTGCCCTCAGTCCATAAACACACTGACAAAAATTCCACGTGGTATTGCAGAGAGGCTCCCACTTGATGGAAGCTGACGTTTCGTAGAAATTGTGCCCTGTTGGCAACACTCTGTCCTTTGCTCATAGAATTCCAGGCCCATGTTCATCAGTGCGGTGGAAGACTGTGAGTACACCTTCTCCTGGCCCACACCAGCTGCCTGTCCTGTGAGGAGCAATGTGCACGACAACTGCCAAGTCACCAACCCTGCCACAGGTGAGGACGCTGCCAAGCACCAGCCCCCCAGAGTGAGGACGCTGCCAGTCACCAACTCTCCACAGTGAGGGACACTGCCAGTCACCAGCCCCCCCCACAGTGAGGACGCTGCCAGTCACCAGCCCCCCCATAGTGAGGACACTGCTAGTCACCAGCCCCCCCATAATGAGGGACCTAACTTGAAGCTGGGGAGCAAGACTCCCTTGGCAGTAGCATTCTGTCCACGTGTGTGCATGTTGGCGTCCTCTCTTGCTCTACCCAGTTTTGTTTGCTAGGACTTCTCCTTCGGTGGGGAAGAGATTGATCCATCTCCCTGCGAGTCTTGCTGCCCATAACTCCTGCTTCCGAGTGTGCCCGTCACACCAGCTGTAGGCTTGCAGAGTTGCGTAGAGTCTGTGTCCGTGGTCCAGTGGTCCTGTGGGGGCAGCGGGGAGGCCTCGACTGCCATCCGTGCTGGGGACCCAGCAGGCTGCGGCTGGTATCCCTTGGCCATGGGAGGGATGCCATCAGGCCCTCCTGAATCCCACCAGGGCCCTCGTGGCCCTGTTGTGGCCCAGCCCCGGGAGGAGGAGGACGCTATGAGCCACTGTCTTAGGAAAGATGAGCCATCATATAAACTTGCAGTCTCTAGCCTCATTATGTAGTTTAGCTGGCCAGGAGCATTTTTAGGGCCAGGTCAGTGAACAAGGCAAGTGGCGGACCCACGGCAGGAAGTCAGAAGTCCCAATGGCCAGCGTGGTCCGTGGGTGAGCATGCTGGTGTCACTGTGTGTCCGCCCCTTCCCCCCTTGCAGGACACCTGTTTGATCTGAGCTCTTTAAGCGGCAGAGCTGGACACACGGCCGCATACAGCGAGAAAGGGCTTGTGTACATCAGTGTCTGTGACGACAATGAAAACTGCTCCCCCGGCGTGGGTAAGTGCATGACCACCGCCACGCCTGGGTCTCCCGTCCCCAGGGCTGTCCCCAGCCTCCGCATTCCTGTGGCAAAAGAGAGGAGTAGAACTGAAGATCCATCACCTCTGCTGTAACATTCCGCTCATGGGGGGGAACCCGTGGCTACGTGATGAAATGGTAGATGCAGGACACTTGCCGAGACCTCACTGGACGCTCAGAATGACAAGTGTTAGCTCTGGATTTGCAGAAAGCAGTCCTCAGAAAGCTGGTCACCTGAGTCCATAATTGTGCTTTTCCTCTCCCTTCACGTTTGGTACAGGGGCCTGCTTCGGGCAGACCAGGATCAGTGTGGGCAAGGCAAACAAGAGGCTGACCTATGTGGATCAGGTCCTACAGCTGGTGTATGAGGATGGATCCCCCTGTCCGTCCAAATCCGGCCTGACCTACAAGAGTGTGATCAGCTTCGTGTGCAGGCCTGAGGCCGGGCCCACCAACAGGCCCATGCTCATCTCTCTCGACAAGCAGACATGCACGCTCTTCTTTTCCTGGCACACGCCTCTGGCCTGCGAGCAGGTGGTGAGTCTGGGGCCTGTGTGGCCTCTGAGAAATGCCTGCCTGATGCCCGGGTGGGCCCTGGTTCCCGCACCAGCTTTCCTGCAGGTCACTGTCGGCCGCCACTCCCCGCCCCCCCCCCCGCCAGAGGGTACCCAGAATGGCTTAGCCACCCGCGATGGTCCCAACAATGAGTAGGTCTAAGTGCCCAAGTATTTGGGGGATGTTGTTCCATCTTTCGTGCTTTTTTTGTGCTGCTTTTAAATTCCTGGGGTGACTTAGTGGTGATGAGGAGAATGTTACTGTGGACTCCAGCGAGGTCCTCCCTGTCTAACAGACGGAGTGCTCTGTGAGGAACGGAAGCTCCATTATTGACCTGTCCCCCCTCATCCACCGCACGGGGGGCTATGAGGCATATGACGAGAGTGAGGATGACACTTCGGACACCGGCCCTGACTTCTACATCAACATCTGCCAGCCGCTGAACCCGATGCACGGGGTGCCTTGTCCCGCCGGAGCGGCTGTGTGCAAGGTTCCTGTCGACGGTCCCCCCATAGTAAGTATGGGAAACACAAGGCAGAAACAAGTTTTGCAAGATTTTTAACAACTGTCATGTTGTGTTTCTTGCTTTCAGTGGAGGGTTACTCAAGCAGATAGGAAGGTGAAAGGATCTGGGACTGTGTGTGTCCTGGGTCCAGTTGGGGAAGATTAACGTTAAGGATTTGTGCATTGAGCCATCAGCTAATGATGGCGACCAGGAGGTCTCTGAGTTGTGGAAGAAAACATGAACACGTGTGAATAGGGTGTCCTGTTAGGATTCTTAAGGTTGACTCTGATCAGGAAACTTATATGTAAAGTGGCAAGAAAGAACTGATAAGAACTTGATTTCTTTTTTTGAAATGCATGTCTTGGGTAAAGAAAGTGCTTGGGAGATACAATCACTTTCTTTGGTAAATGAGTCCTTCGGGGCAAGAGCAGATCTGCTAATTGCTGGATACTCTGCCTTAAAAGTTTGGGACTCCTAGCTCTTTTTAGTACAGCTTTGGCTCTTTGAAAATTGTCTTCATGAGTTATCTTTATGTTTTATCAAATCTTTGCTGTGCTTTATTATTTGAGATGCATCTCAGAAGGGTCTATTTCTGTATTTCTATCTGTAGGCTTTACGCAGTCCTGTCATAAGATATGGAGATGTCCTTTTTTTTTTTTTTTTAAGATTTTATTTATTTATTTGAGACAGAGAGAATGAGAAAGAGT